TAAGTACTTGTGCCATTTTGAAGACATAAATTCCAAAGATAGTGCTATATATCCCCAAAAAATTGATCTGCAGGATTTATTGCTGTGTTTCATTTATCTTAATCTTTCCCTTTTATTGTTCTTTTGCATTTGAATGTATACTGAGCAACTTCCCAAATTGTTGAGTTTCCTTCCTGCATCCCATGCAATGTATCTCCTACATCCATGAAGTTACGTATATGCACCGGGACAGTTAGTTTGGCTCAGAGCCTGCTTCTATCCAACAGCTTTCCAGAAGGGATAAAGGAAGCAGACTGTGTACCAGGTAGATTTTTTTCTGAGCTGGGAGCAGATTGCTGTTTCTTTAAAGAGCTGATTTCATGTTTAGCAGATGAAGCAAACTATGATAAATGAATCCTGCAAAAACAAGTAATATTCTTACAGGTGAGGGAGCCATTCCGCAAAATATGGCTCTTAGCTCCATCATCAGGTAGGTTGATAATATTGTCATCTTTAGCAGAACCGACATGAAATTAAGGCTTTCTGTGGTAGCACAGTACAAGAAATTTGAGCTGAACAGAACTGAAAAGGTTGGTGGCTATTTTTATTATTTTTATGTCTCATATTTTTAAAACAACATTAATTTTTTCTCATGACTTGGGAAGCAAAATTCATTCATAGCAAATATGGCCCATACTGGCATAATTTTTATAACTTTCACATTATGAAAACTTGAGAATCATAGAATCATAGAATGCTTAAGGTTGGAAGGGACCTCTAGAGGTCATCTAGTCCAACCCCCCTGCACACGCAGGGTCACCTAAAGCATGTAGCACAGGTCTGCATCCAAGCGGGTTTTGAAGATCTCCAGAGAAGGAGACTCCACAACCTCTCTGGGCAGCCTCTCTGGGAATCCTGGAGTCGGGGAAGAACTCCGCCTTCTGTATGAGGCAGGCCAATATTTGGTGTCTGAAGTACATGGACAAGACACAAGGAAAAAAAAAAAAAAGAGAGATCAGATTCTGACCAAAGCTATGAGAGAGTAAATCCAGGATAATTCCCCTGAAATGAAATGGAGTTGCTTTGGGTTTATATGACTGCATTTGAAATTAAAACCTGACTAACAGGAATTGGAAAAGAAGTGTGTAACGTAAATCAACACTATCCAGCACGTGAGGGGGTTCCAGCAGAAATCCTCCCCATGGAAACCAGGGAAGGACACAGCCGCCCTGCCCGAGGAAGCCTCCAGCTGCTGTGGAGCTGGGACGAGCGCAGGACACACAGCCAACGCCAGGCCGGAGGAAACCTCCAGGAGACCTTTGCAGGGAAACGTCACCAAAGCCACGTTCATCTGCACCTTTCTTAGCGCATGGGATGTTAGTTTTGGAAGAGGGTCTTGCCCAGATACCAAAGGTCCTTTTGCCAGAGAACTGAGTGTAAGGGTTGGGTTAAAACATTATGAAGAAAGTTGCTTGTTTATAAATAAGTGATTTAAGCATAGCTTTAGCAAGAAGTGGTGACAAGATGCATGGAATTACATTTCCCCATAGCTAGCACAGTACAGCAATCTAAATTTCACAGTTGCATCTTTTTTTTTTTTTCCTTGAAATTCTGGGATGATTTGAATCTGTAATCAATGAAGGTCTACTTAGCAGTCTGTCATGTTCTCTTTTCCTAGGACATCTGAAAAAAAAAGATCTGGGCTATATAATCAACTCGAACAAAAGTGTGGAAAATAATGTTTCTGTAAGAAAAGCATAAGCAGTGTTTCTGTTCTGTGGCTCTGCAACATATCTTTAAGTGAAATGATTTCTGGTGGTGGACAGTATTTATGAATAGTTAATGTATCAACTTGGATTTATTGTGCCTTGTGTCTGTGCTGATTAATACTGTTTGATATTAATTATGAAATCTTGGAATTGCACTTTAGTAGTATATCCAGATCTCAAATAAGACAGTGCAGCTACTAGACAAGGAAGGAAAAAAAACATTTTTTTTCAGTAAAAAATACAGATTTTTTTTTAAACTAGTACAACATTAGTACAATATTTAAATTCTTACTAGTAATCACAGATTATATTTTATTACTGATGATGAAATATTGAAAAGATACGTATTTATCAACTTATTGTTAACATATTCTGGACTGCATTATAACTATTAAATTTCTAATTTATTCTTGCCTTCTCCAAAAAAGCTTCTGTTAAAGGTTGATTTTATTTGTTGTCAGCTGCAGTACTGTACCTGATGAGCAGGACTCCTGTTGCCATTGGCTTAAACTGTGGTCGGAACCTTTAGACTATATGGACACTTGAACTGCTCAAAGGCAGGAGCACGCAAACAGTACAATTTTGCCTTGAAGCCTGGGACGATGCTGGTGGGGAGGGATGAAACAACAGTCAGGGGATCGTATTTAAGTAGTATATGTGGCATCTTTAGGACCTTACTAGAAAAATATTCAGACTTCTAGTGCTTCTTTATTGTGAGCTGTGGAGTTTCTCTGGCACCTGCATTCAAAGCTTGTTAACCAAACACATAGGTTTTAGTGACTGCAGTAATAAATGAAATCAAAACGATGACTGTTGTCTGTTTTCTGGTATTGAGGGTTTCCCACTTTATTCTCACCAGATCCGCTTCTAGCGGTTTAACCTCCCGGTTCCACTAAGAGCCACCTCTGGACCCGTACGGTGCCCTTTTTTCACCATTCGTGACTTTGACTCAGGATGTCCTTTGAACACGCTACTTTGCCAGGGACGGTTCTTACGGAAGTTTCCTCTTCAGCCACACGATCCTGAAGACAAAACACCCGGGTGACAACCGGAGGCCGGGCCCCCAGCCCCTCCCCCGCCCCAAGGCCACGGTGCCGCGCGGCGCTTCCCCCCGGCCGCCCCGCCCTCT